GTGACATTCGGATCTGCCATTCATGAGGAGTTGGTGGGTGATTTCATTTGCTGAAATGTTTGCATGAGTAAGGTCTTTACTTGAGTCATTAATAATCTCCATACAGTGGACCCTTGACTTACAGACGGCTTGACTTACAGACTTTTTGAGTTACACACTTCTCTGGCCGCAAAATTTAGGTTTGACTTGCAGACTGAGATTTGACTTACAGACCAGAAAAAAACCAAAATGGAACAAAAACGGCCTGTTACGGGATTAATCGGTTTTCAATGCACTGTAGGTCAATGGAGACTTGACTTACAGACTTTTTGACTTGAGAACCGCCTTCCAATACGGATTAAGTTCTCAAGTCAAGACCCTACTGTAATTTCAACTGTTTCTTGACATGTTTATTTCTTTCACGAATTTTATCCAATTACGTTTTTTCATTTCTGAGACCAAAGAAATTAATCATTCTCCAGCCAAAATGGTTTCTTCGCTCAATAGATTTTGTTCAAATGATGAAAAATTATTATTTACTTGACTGACTATTTCCAGTGTTAGGCCTTGGAGGAAGTTGGTTCTGTATCCTCAGGGTATGGACAGTGGAGATGATGTTTTCACTGCCTGGCTGCCTTGCCATCCAATACTTGCACTGAATTTCTGCCAAACAGCTTTTTTTAAAATTGTGACTCCTGTGGGACGATGTTGATGGAAAGACTGCCACCATGGGTTGACATCTCATGGGCCAGTCATTCTCCAGCCAAAATGGTTTCTTCGCTCAATAGATTTTGTTCAAATGATGAAAAATTATTATTTACTTGACTGACTATTTCCAGTGTTAGGCCTTGGAGGAAGTTGGTTCTGTATCCTCAGGGTATGGACAGTGGAGATGATGTTTTCACTGCCTCAATGAACTAATCATAGTCATCATGGTCTGGACAAATGTTCTATATGATTCCATCCAATACTTGCACTAAATTTCTGCCAAACAGCTTTTAAAAAAATGGTGTCTCCTGTGGAACGATGTTGATGGAAAGACTGCCACCATGGGTTGACATCTCATGGGCCAGTGCTGCATATTTTGGAATTGAGGTACAGACTGACTTCACATGCTCTTGGGCTATAGTTTCACTAGCAAAGATCAAGCCTGGGTTATAACCACATTACCATCTTCTTCTGTTGAAAGATGGGGAATTTTCCTGTCATGAATAAGAGCTAGTTGGGGTGTTTCCCTTATTTAAGCAGAGATCCTCCTTTGTTATCATTGATTGTGTATCCCCAGATACTGCTGTGGCAATTGACATATCTGATTATAAAACTGTTGTTGGGAGTTTTTTTTTACTTATGAAAATTATCCAGTTTTAAAGAAAAAGCTTGCATGAGATACTTTATAAATGAAAGGTGCAGTGCAATTACTTAGCTCAACTGTTATTATCTCTATATCATCCTATTCTGTGATAGCAGTAGATAATACAATATACTGTAGTGCAAAACCAGTGTGGTAAATAAAAAAACCCTAATAATTAATTAGGCAACTGAAGCAGAATATGAATATATTACGCAGACTAGAGGCAAAGAAGCTTTTTTGGTCTGAATGCCAAGCTTACTCCAGGCATACACAAAAGGAGGGGGCACATGTCAGAAGGGGGCAGGGGGGCAGAATCCCATTCACACACAGTCTCTGAGCTAGATCCTCTCCACCTTTGCCCTTCTGATCAGGACAGCTGAGGAATGACAGGAACCTCCAGGAGCCACTGCTTCAACAAGCCTAAAAGCAGCTGTTCCTGGCTGAGTTGGCATTTCTTGCCCCTCAACTTTGCCAACTTTCTGAGCCACTACCATCTCAAGATGGAGATGGCAGCCCAGTCTTGGGCTGACTTCCTTTTCCCCATCAGGCGTATGCACAGAGAACTACCACTTCAAAGCACTCCAGCAGATTTCATGGCACCTGAGGGTGTAGGCTTCCTGACTTCCTCCGAAGTTGCAGCTTTCTTGAAGACAAGGAAAAACAAAAGAGTTTGTGTGAGGGAGAGTAGCTCCACCATCTCAATAAAGGTAGGGTAAAAAATTTTCTATCCTGCCCTAGACTGCAATCCCACACACATATTTACTTGGGAGTAGGTTTTTCCCATTTTTCCCCAAAGCTGTTTCGTATTTTTTTCTGGAAAAGTTGGAAAAAAATATGGAATTTAAAATATGTTATTTTACAATGATAAACGATATGTCTATGACATGGTATTCAGACTATATAACATGAAGTTCTTAATAAAATACTTCTGAGATTTTATGTATTTATTTCTTGGGAGTCAGGATGTGACCTGACAACCAAATGGGATTGGGCTCGATTGAGTTAAATAGGGTTGCTTTGAAGTGCAGTACGTCATTTCAAGGCAGGAAACAGGGCAATTTTAAATTTTAAATTTAAAAAGAAAGAAATCCCCTCTCCGGTCTCTCCCTTCATGGGGGAACAGGAGAAAGTTGCAATTGAAAAGATTATTTTTATGTGATTAATATGAGTTGGCTTGCAGATCAACCAATTCAATGCTGGACAGAGTCGGTCTTTTTTTAAAATCACACACACAGCTGCATCCTCTCTTGTTTTCTTCTGCTGTGGAATGGGAAGAAGCTTTAAATTTCCTATTAACTAGTTAGTTCATGAAGCAGCTTTAGCAAAGTGATGATCTCAAGAATTCAAAAGGCACCCTGTCTTGCACTAGCAGAAAGGTTACAGTTCTGCCAACAAGAACAGGGAACTGTAGCAAAATTAGGAATACAACTGACAAAGTCTGTGGTTAGTATAGACAGTCTTTGGCTGATGGAACATCCCCCCCCCCCGCTCCGGTCTTCCTTACTTAACAGAATAGGTCTCAGGATAGAAGGATCTGGGAGATTAGTCTGTTTGGATTACAGCAAACGGCATTTGATTTAAAGATTTCCCATCTCAGGGAGTTATCGCTATTTATATGTAATGAGCAGAACTAGAAACTAGTTATAATTTGCTTTTTTCTATATTGCTATTTTCACATCTATAGCGAAAGTGTAATTGTATATAACTTGAAATAAGCGAAACTGGAATTGTGCTAACATGAAAATAAAAGAAATACATGCAGTTAAACAAAATACATTCCGTATTGGAACAGAGTTGTACCAACACAGGAATCAACATAGGGATCAATCATAGGAATATGTAAGGTGCTTATACACTCTGCAGCTGGATGGATAGCTCAGTCGTTTAGGAGTTCAATTCCCCCACTATGCCTCCAGGGAGAAGAGCCAGCCTGTGTGTCCTTGGACAAACAGCAGAGTCCCAGGGCATCCTCCAGAAGAAGGGAAAGGGAAACCACTTCTGTTTATTCTCTACTTAAGAAACCCTGGGAAAGGGTCATCATAAGCTAGAATTGACTTGATGGCACATGATTATTATTTATACAATCTGCAGCTTGCAGTATTTAGAATGAAAACAGGCAGTTTAGAAAACTACGGGAAATTTGGACCGTTCTTTTTATGCTCCCTCTGCTAAGGGCTTGCTTTCTCCTTTTCTGTGCAGGTTTTCCCTTCCTGCTCTTCCACACGGTCACAAAATGGAATAAAGAGCGTTTTGCCATGTAGCGACGGCTCAAGGACTTTACCCACTGCCACGGGTCCCGTTAGAGGAGCCTTTCATGACTCTCGGTGTGTGCGTGTGTGTGTTTGTGTGCGTGTGTGTGTGTGTGTGAGAGAGAAAGTCCAGTTCTGGAACTCGCTGGCCACACACCCAAGTGTGCGAAGCGGGAAAACACGCCCGGAGCTTCATCTCCCTTCCCGGGCCCGGTCAGCCGGTAAAGAGTGAGAGAGGCACCCGGCGAGGTCGCCTATTACACTCACACACTCAAAAGGCTCACGGGTTCGGGCTGGGGATGCCCTCCTCCCCAGCGAACCTCCGGCCGCTCCGAGGCCAACAGGGAGCTGCCCGTGAGCGGGCCCAGGCCAGGAGGAGGAGGAGGAGGACAGGGTCTAAATACATCGCGCGTGGGCAGAGGAGGGAGCGCCACGGGCGCAGCCGTGGGGGCGAAGCGTCGGCATGCGCTACCCCGCACCGCTCCCTTCCTCCCGCGGAACCCCGTCGGCGGAGACACCCATTTCCTGCTTCTGCTCAGGAAGGGACCGGGCGGGCGGGCAGCGGACCGCGCTCTGTCGCCTGGACCTCGCTCGCTCCTCTCCTCTCCTCTCCGGGCGGGCGGCAAAGCGGAGCGGAC